CTGTATATAGCCTCGTTATTACCTGGACTAACCTGTACCCCCTGTATATAGCCTCGTTATTACCTGGACTAACCTGTGCCCCCTGTATATAGCCACGTTACTACCTGGACTAACCTGTACCCCCTGTATATAGCCTCGTTATTACCTGGACTAACCTGTAACCCCCTGTATATAGCCTCATTACTACCTGGACTAACCTGTACCCCCTGTATATAGCCTCGTTATTACCTGGACTAACCTGTACCCCCCCCCTGTATATAGCCTCGTTATTACCTGGACTAACCTGTACCCCCCCTGTATATAGCCTCGTTATTACCTGGACTAACCTGTACCCCCCTGTATATAGCCTCGTTATTACCTGGACTAACCTGTACCCCCTGTATATAGCCTCGTTATTACCTGGACTAACCTGTACCCCCTGTATATAGCCTCGTTATTACCTGGACTAACCTGTACCCCCTGTATATAGCCTCGTTATTACCTGGACTAACCTGTACCCCCTGTATATAGCCTCGTTATTACCTGGACTAACCTGTACCCCCTGTATATAGCCTCGTTATTACCTGGACTAACCTGTACCCCCTGTATATAGCCTCGTTATTACCTGGACTAACCTGTACCCCCTGTATATAGCCTCGTTATTACCTGGACTAACCTGTACCCCCTGTATATAGCCTCGTTATTACCTGGACTAACCTTTACCCCCTGTATATAGCCTCGTTATTACCTGGACTAACCTGTACCCCCTGTATATAGCCTCGTTATTACCTGGACTAACCTGTACCCCCTGTATATAGCCTCGTTATATAGCCTCGTTATTACCTGGACTAACCTGTACCCCCCCTGTATATAGCCTCGTTATTACCTGGACTAACCTGTACCCCCCCTGTATATAGCCTCGTTATTACCTGGACTAACCTGTACCCCCCCTGTATATAGCCTCGTTATTACCTGGACTAACCTGTACCCCCTGTATATAGCCTCGTTATTACCTGGACTAACCTGTACCCCCTGTATATAGCCTCGTTATTACCTGGACTAACCTGTACCCCCTGTATATAGCCTCGTTATTACCTGGACTAACCTGTACCCCCCTGTATATAGCCTCGTTATTACCTGGACTAACCTGTACCCCCTGTATATAGCCTCGTTATTACCTGGACTAACCTGTACCCCCTGTATATAGCCTCGTTATACCTGGACTAAACCTGTACCCCCCTGTGTATAGCCTCGTTATTACCTGGACTAACCTGTACCCCCTGTGTATAGCCTCGTTATTACCTGGACTAACCTGTACCCCCTGTATATAGCCTCGTTATTACCTGGACTAACCTGTACCCCCCCTGTATATAGCCTCGTTATTACCTGGACTAACCTGTACCCCCTGTATATAGCCTCATTATTACCTGGACTAACCTGTACCCCCTGTATATAGCCTCGTTATTACCTGGACTAACCTGTACCCCCTGTATATAGCCTCGTTATTACCTGGACTAACCTGTACCCCCTGTATATAGCCGCGTTATTACCTGGACTAACCTGTACCCCCTGTATATAGCCTCGTTACTACCTGGACTAACCTGTACCCCCTGTATATAGCCTCATTACTACCTGGACTAACCGGTACCCCCTGTATATAGCCTCGTTTTTACCTGGACTAACCTGTACCCCCTGTATATAGCCTCATTACTACCTGGACTAACCTGTACCCCCCATATAGCCTCATTACTACCTGGACTAACCTGTACCCCCTGTATATAGCCTCATTATTACCTGGACTAACCTGTACCCCCTGTATATAGCCTCGTTATTACCTGGACTAACCTGTACCCCCTGTATATAGCCTCGTTATTACCTGGACTAACCTGTACCCCCCCCATATAGCCTCATTATTACCTGGACTAACCTGTACCCCCCCATATAGCCTCGTTATTACCTGGACTAACCTGTACCCCCTGTATATAGCCTCGTTATTACCTGGACTAACCTGTACCCCCTGTATATAGCCTCATTATTACCTGGACTAACCTGTACCCCCACACATTGACTCTGTACCGGCACTCCCTGTATATAGCCTCGTTATTACCTGGACTAACCTGTACCCCCACACATTGACTCGGTACCAGTACCCCCTGTATATAGCCTCGTTATTACCTGGACTAACCTGTACCCCCTGTATATAGCCTCATTATTACCTGGACTAACCTGTACCCCCTGTATATAGCCTCATTATTACCTGGACTAACCTGTACCCCCCCCATATAGCCTCATTATTACCTGGACTAACCTGTACCCCCTGTATATAGCCTCATTATTACCTGGACTAACCTGTACCCCCTGTATATAGCCTCATTATTACCTGGACTAACCTGTACCCCCTGTATATAGCCTCATTATTACCTGGACTAACCTGTACCCCCTGTATATAGCCTCATTATTACCTGGACTAACCTGTACCCCCTGTATATAGCCTCGTTATTACCTGGACTAACCTGTACCCCCTGTATATAGCCTCGTTATTACCTGGACTAACCTGTACCCCCTGTATATAGCCTCGTTATTACCTGGACTAACCTGTACCCCCACACATTGACTCTGTACCGGCACTCCCTGTATATAGCCTCGTTATTACCTGGACTAACCTGTACCCCCACACATTGACTCGGTACCAGTACCCCCTGTATATAGCCTCATTACTACCTGGACTAACCTGTACCCCCCCATATAGCCTCATTACTACCTGGACTAACCTGTACCCCCCCATATAGCCTCATTACTACCTGGACTAACCTGTACCCCCCCCATATAGCCTCATTACTACCTGGACTAACCTGTACCCCCCCATATAGCCTCATTATTACCTGGACTAACCTGTACCCCCCCCCATATAGCCTCATTATTACCTGGGACTAACCTGTACCCCCCCATATAGCCTCGGTATTACCTGGACTAACCTGTACCCCCACACATTGATCGGTACCAGTACCCCCCTGTATATAGCCTCATTACTACCTGGACTAACCTGTACCCCCCATATAGCCTCATTACTACCTGGACTAACCTGTACCCCCACACATTGACTCTGTACCGGTACCCCCCCATATAGCCTCATTATTACCATGACTAACCTGTACCCCCACACATTGACTCTGTACTCCCTGTATATAGCCTCATTATTACCTGGACTAACCTGTACCCCCACACATTGACTTTTTTACTTCAGTTTATTTAGTAAATACTTTCTTAACACTTATTTTTCTTAACTACGTTGTTGGTTAAGGGCTTGTAAGTAAGCATTTCACTGGAAGGTCTACACCTGTTGTATTCGGCGCATGTGGCAAATAAAATGTGATTTGATTTGCATGTTATAGTGTATATCTATTCCCCATTACATCACCAATAGTACATTTACCGTTAATTCCTATAATTTCTAATCTACAAGGTTATGTTCATTTTATTTTAATGCATTCAATATTATTATTCCAGTCTTCCCGTTCTCATTGTCGGAGTGGACACATTGTTTGCAGAGTGCAAAACCTATGCTACACTTGTGATAAACAAGTTTTGCTTTATTTAATTATATGTATGAGTTTTGTCAATTTAGTCATTGTCTTTTGTTTGGAACGCTCCTGTCAATGTTGAGTAAGGACGCGCACCTGATTACGCATAGAAGTAGTCCTATAAAATAGGTTTCCTACCTGGCCTGCGCTCAAATGTAGACTTATAAATGTGTCCATTTGGGGATCTGATAGTATTTTTGATTGGCTTAACGCACCACTACTAATGACCTGTGGAGCTTCTCAAAGCAATGTTTTCTTCACCTCAAACAGAAAGCAAACAAACTCGGTTTTTATATCCATTGAGAATTACAATAGTTCCTCAATGTATTTGAAAAATCTTTCCAGCTCTCTCCCTTTCGATAACCACTCAGTGTGAAAGGGGAAAATGTAATGCTCAGATCCAGTGGAAACGTCATAAAATAGGCTTCTTATCAGTGTTTGACTTGGACTGAAATAGGTTCCGGTTCTCATTTTGAGTGCTGGTACTGTTTTATATTTAGGTGCAGGAGCTCCACAATACTGTTGAGCTGATATTCTATAAGAGGAACAGGAGCTCAATCCAACAGCTGTGTCTGTCCCGAGCTCACTGGCGCAGGAAACTCTGAGGGCCCAGAATATTTTATGCAATGTTTCAAGTTAATTGCAGACAGGCCATGTGATTTATAGGATATTTATTTTTATCAAGATATTGTCTACCTGCAGGCTGCAATTATTTTTTTTGTGCCTTTTATGTAGGCTATTTTTACATAGTTGGCAATGGCAATAGAATTTACTTTTCAGGTTTATATTATTTGGAAATAATTTTGATTAACCACATTATGAGATATGAAGACGTTATTATAAATTAAACTTTCACAAATCTGCATATGAAAACCATAACTGGCACGCAGATCGGTAGAAATGGTAAGATAAATTGGCAGAAAGGTTGCCTATTCCTTGTGTATCCTATTACTGGCAACTTCAGGAAAGTAATGCCACATTCTGCGAAAGCCAGCAGGATGCACAGTATTGCACTACTTTGCTTTATCTTGGCCAGGTCGCAGTTGTAAATGAGAACCTGTTCTCAACTGGCTTACCTGGTTAAATAAAGGTGAAATAAAAAAATAAAATAAAAGAGGGAGGAGAATAGTTGGGTCAGGTTAAGGTTTTTTCTTCTGGTTATCTAGATCTCTCGCTCCCTCTTGAGGCATCAAACCGTAAGCTTAACACAATGCATATAGTTGATTTTATTAAAACACATAGGGTGTGTCTATATTTGGCAAAAAATACACCTTTTAAATATTTAGAGCAATCGATTGGTCAAAACAACAGACGACTTTCGGTCGACCAAGATTTTGTTTAATCGGGGACAGCCCTAGACTGTATGTGTCTGGCTGTATTAGGGCTGACTGTATGTGTCTGTTTTCCTCAGGTTGTAGGAACTAGTGGAGATGAATAGTAATGAGTGTTATGGATGCGGACGTACCGGCCACTGGATCAAGAACTGTCCGAATGCCGGGCGGGGACGAGGCAAGGGCCGCGGGAGGGGGAAAGGTAAGGTACTGACTACATTACAGGGTAGTGATCAATAGACCGGGAAAGGTAAGGTACTGACTACATTACAGGGTAGTGATCAATAGACAGGGGAAAGGTAAGGTACTGACTACATTACAGGGTAGTGATCAATAGACAGGGGAAAGGTAAGGTACTGACTACATTACAGGGTAGTGATCAATAGACAGGGAAAGGTAAGGTACTGACTACATTACAGGGTAGTGATCAATAGACAGGGAAAGGTAAGGTACTGACTACATTACAGGGTAGTGATCAATAGACAGGGGAAAGGTAAGGTACTGACTACAGTACAGGGTAGTGATCAATAGACAGGGAAAGGTAAGGTACTGACTACATTACAGGGTAGTGATCAATAGACAGGGAAAGGTAAGGTACTGACTACATTACAGGGTAGTGATCAATAGACAGGGAAAGGTAAGGTACTGACTACATTACAGGGTAGTGATCAATAGACAGGGAAAGGTAAGGTACTGACTACATTACAGGGTAGTGATCAATAGACAGGGGAAAGGTAAGGTACTGACTACATTACAGGGTAGTGATCAATAGACAGGGGAAAGGTAAGGTACTGACTACATTACAGGGTAGTGATCAATAGACAGTCAACAACCAGTCAGATGTGCAGCCAGACTTATTAGCCAATCCTTTTGCCCCATCTCTTTCAACCAGACAGTTTTTCAATTCCTCATCAATCCATGGAGCCTTAACAGGTCTAACAGTCAGTTTCTTAACAGGTACAGTAGAAGTCGGAAGTTTACATACACTTATGTTGGAGTCATTAAAACTCGTTTTTCAACCACTCCAGAATTTCTTGTTAACAAACTATAGTTTTGGCAAGTCGGTTAGGACATCTACTTTTTGCATGACACAAGTAATTTTTCCAACAATTGTTTACAGACAGATTATTTCACTTATAATTTACTGTATCACAATTCCAGTGGATCAGAAGATTACATATACTAAGTTGACTGTGCCTTTTAAACAGCTTTGAAAATTCCAGAAAATGATGTCATGGCTTTAGAAGCTTCTGATAGGCTAATTTACATAATTTGAGTCAATTGGAGGTGTACCTGTGGATGTATTTCAAGGCCTACCTTCAAACTCAGTGCCTCTTTGCTTGACATCATGGGAAAATCAAAAGAAATCAGCCAAGACCTCAGAAAAAAAATTGTAGACCTCCACAAGTCTGGTTCATCCTTGAGAGCAATTTCCAAACACCTGAAGGTACCACGTTCATCTGTACAAACAATCGTATGCAAGTATAAACACCATGGGACCACGCAGCCGTCATACCGCTCAGGAAGGAGACGCGTTCTGTCTCCTAGAGATGAGCGTACTTTGGTGCGAAAAGTGCAAATCAATCCCAGAACAACAGCAAAGGACCTTGTGAAGATGCTGGAGGAAACAGGTACAAAAGGGTATATATCCACAGTAAAACGTGTCCTATATCGACATAACCTGAAAAGCCGCTCAGCAAGGAAGAAGCCACTGCTCCAAAACCGCCATAAAAAAGCCAGACTACGGTTTGCAACTGCACATGGGGACAAAGATCATACTTTTTGGAAAAATGTCCTCTGGTCTGATGAAACAAAAATATAACTGTTTGGCCATAATGACCATTGTTATGTTTGGAGGAAAAGGGGGGTTCTTGCAAGCCGAAGAACACCATCCGTGAAGCACGGACAATGACCCCAAGCGTACTTCCAAAGTTGTAGAAAAATGGCTTAAGGACAACAAAGTCAAGGTATTGGAGTGGCCATCACAAAGCCCTGACCTCAATCCTATAGAACATTTGTGGGCAGAACTGAAAAGGCGTGTGCGAGCAAGGAGGCCTACAAACCTGACTCAGTTACATCAGCTCTGTCAGGAGGAATGGGCCAAAATTCACCCAACTTATTCTGGGAAGCTTGTGGAAGGCTCCCCGAAACGTTTGACCCAAGTTAAACAATTGAAAGACAATGCTACAAAATACTAATTGAGTGTATGTACACTTCTGACCCACTGGGAATGTGATGAAAGAAATAAAAGCTGGAATAAATCATTCTCTCTACTATTATTCTGACATTTCACATTCTTAAAATAAAGTGGTGATCCTAACTGACCTAAAACAGGGAATTTTTACTAGGATTAAATGTCAGGAATTGTGAAAAACTGAGTTTAAATGTATTTGGCTAAGGTGTATGTAAACTTCCGACTTCAACTGTACATGTTTATCAATAATTGGAAGAAGCAATTTCATAAATTCATCAAGTACAGCGTCTGGATGCTCCTTATTAAACACATCAGACCAACACATTTTTAACATCATCCACATAAAGAGTCACAGCAAAATCTTTTGTATCATCTCTTATGCACTATTTTAGCTTTTGGAACTTTGCCTTCCTGGATATAGCCACTATATTGTGATCACTGCATCCAATGGGTACGGATACAGCATTAGAACAAAGTTCTACAGTATTGGTAAAAATGTGATCAATACATGTGGATGATATTGTTCCTGTAGTGTTTGTAAACACCCTGGTAGGTTGATTAATAACCTGAACCAGATTACAGGCACTGGTTACAGTGAGAAGCTTCCTCTTGAGCGGACAGCTTGATGAAAACCGGTCAATATTCAGGTCCCCAAGAAAGTAGACCTCTCTGTTTAAATCACATACATACAGTGAGGGAAAAAAGTATTTGATCCCCTGCTGATTTTGTAAATTTGCCCACTGACAAAGACATGATCAGTCTATAATTTTATTGGTAGGTTTATTTGAACAGTGAGAGACAGAATAACAACAAAAAAATCCAGAAAAACGCATGTCAAAAATTTTATAAATTGATTTGCATTTTAATGAGGGAAGTAAGTATTTGACCCCTCTGCAAAACATGACTTAGTACTTGGTGCCAACAAGGGTTTTGCCAATCACAGAGGTCAGACGTTTCTTGTAGTTGGCCACCAGATTTGCACACATCTCAGGAGGGATTTTGTCCCACGCCTCTTTGCAGATTTTCTCCAAGTCATTAAGGTTTCGACGCTGACGTTTGGCAACTCGAACCTTCAGCTCCCTCCACAGATTTTCTATGGGATTAAGGTCTGGAGACTGGCTAGGCCACTCCAGGACCTTAATGTGCTTCTTCTTGAGCCACTCCTTTGTTGCCTTGGCCGTGTGTTTTGGGTCATTGTCATGCTGGAATACCCATCCACGACCCATTTTCAATGCCCTGGCTGAGGGAAGGAGGTTCTCACCCAAGATTTGATGGTACATGGCCCCGTCCATCGTCCCTTTGATGCGGTGAAGTTGTCCTGTCCCCTTAGCAGAAAAACACCCCCAAAGCATAATGTTTCCACCACCATTTTTGACGGTGGGGATGGTGTTCTTGGGGTCATAGGCAGCATTCCTCCTCCTCCAAACACGGCGAGTTGAGTTGTTTTTGGTCTCATCTGACCACAACACTTTCACCCAGTTCTCCTCTGAATCATTCAGATGTTCATTGGCAAACTTCAGACGGGCCTGTATACAGTGGGGAGAACAAGTATTTGATACACTGCCAATTTTGCAGGTTTTCCTACTTAGAAAGCATGTAGAGGTCTGTAATTTTTTATCATAGGTACACTTCAACTGTGAGATCCGGATCTAAAACAAGAATCCAGAAAATCACATTGTATGATTTTTAAGTAATTAATTTGCATTTTATTGCATGACATAAGTATTTGATCACCTACCAACCAGTAAGAATTCCGGCTCTCACAGACCTGTTTTTCTTTAAGAAGCCCTCCTGTTCTCCACTCATTACCTGTATGAACTGCACCTGTTTGAACTCGTTACCTGTATAAAAGACACCTGTCCACACACTCAATCAAACAGACTCCAACCTCTCCACAATGGCCAAGACCAGAGAGCTGTGTAAGGACATCAGGGATAAAATTGTAGACCTGCACAAGGCTGGGATGGGCTACAGGACAATAGGCAAGCAGCTTGGTGAGAAGGCAACAACTGTTGGCGCAACTATTAGAAAATGGAAGAAGTTCAAGATGACGGTCAATCACCCTCGGTCTGGGGCTCCATGCAAGATCTCACCTCGTGGGGCATCAATGATCATGAGGAAGGTGAGGGATCAGCCCAGAACTACATGGCAGGACCTGGTCAATGACCTGAAGAGAGCTGGGACCACAGTCTCAAAGAAAACCATTAGTAACACACTACGCCGTCATGGATTAAAATCCTGCAGCGCACGCAAGGTCCCCCTGCTCAAGCCAGCGCATGTCCAGGCCCGTCTGAAGTTTGCCAATGACCATATGGATGATCCAGAGGAGGAATGGGAGAAGGTCATGTGGTCTGATGAGACAAAAATAGAGCTTTTTGGTCTGAACTCCACTCGCTGTGTTTGGAGGAAGAAGGATGAGTACAACCCCAAGAACACCATCCCAACCGTGAAGCATGGAGGTGGAAACATCATTCTTTGGGGATGATTTTCTGCAAAGGGGACAGGACGACTGCACCGTATTGAAGGAAGGATGTATGGGGCCATGTATCGCAAGATTTTGGCCAACAACCTCCTTCCCTCAGTAAGATGGGTCGTGGCTGGGTCTTCCAGCATGACAACGACCCGAAACACACAGCCAGGGCAACTAAGGAGTGGCTCCGTAAGAAGCATCTCAAGGTCCGGGAGTGGCCTAGCCAGTCTCCAGACCTGAACCCAATAGAAAATCTTTGGAGGGAGCTGAAAGTCCGTATTGCCCAGCGACAGCCCCGAAACCTGAAGGATCTGGAGAAGGTCTGAATGGAGGAGTGGGCCAAAATCCCTGCTGCAGTGTGTGCAAACCTGGTCAAGACCTACAGGAAACGTATGGTCTCTGTAATTGCAAACAAAGGTTTCTGTACCAAATATAAAGTTGTGCTTTTCTGATGTATCAAATACTTATGTCATGCAATAAAATGCAAATTAATTACTTAAAAATCATACAATGTGATTTTCTGGATTTTTGTTTTAGATTCCGTCTCTCACAGTTGAAGTGTACCTATGATAAAAATTACAGACCTCTACATGCTTTGTAAGTAGGAAAACCTGCAAAATTGGCAGTGTATCAAATACTTGTTCTCCCCACTGTATGTGCTTTCTTGAGCAGGGGGACCTTGCGGGCGCTGCAGGATTTCAGTCCTTCACAGCGTAGTGTGTTACCAATTGTTTTCTTGGTGACTATGGTCCCAGCTGCCTTGAGATCATTGACAAGATCCTCCCGTGTAGTTCTGGGCTGATTCCTCACCGTTCTCATGATCATTGCAACTCCACGAGGTGAGATCTTGCATGGAGCCCCAGGCCGAGGGAGATTGACAGTTATTTTGTGTTTCTTCCATTTGCGAATAATCGCACCAACTGTTGTCACCTTCTCACCAAGCTGCTTGGCGATGGTCTTGTAGCCCATTCCAGCCTTGTGTAGGTCTACAATCTTGTCCCTGACATCCTTGGAGAGCTCTTTGGTCTTGGCCATGGTCGAGAGTTTGGAATCTGATTGATTGCTTCTGTGGACAGGTGTCTTTTATACAGGTAACAAGGTGAGATTAGGAGCACTCCCTTTAAGAGTGTGCTCCTAATCTCAGCTCTTTACCTGTATAAAAGACACCTGGGAGCCATAAATCTTTCTGATTGAGAGGGGGTCAAATACTTATTTCCCTCATTAAAATTGAAATCAATTTATAACATTTTTTACATGCGTTTTTCTGGATTTTTTTGTTGTTATTCTGTCTCTCACTGTTCAAATAAACCTACCATTAAAATTATAGACTGATCATTTCTTTGTCAGTGGGCAAACGTACAAAATCAGCAGGGGATCAAATACTTTTTTCCCTCTCTGTATATACAGGATGGAGTCACACATACAGTAAGGAGTCATATATACAGACAATACTTTTTCCCCTCACTGTAGATCGGTTATACACTATCAAGCATTTCACACATTATTTAGATACTGGCTGTTGGCACTTGGTGGCCAATAGCAACACCCCAAAAGAAAAGGCTTTAGATGTGCCAAGTGAACCTGCAACCACAACACTTCAATAACACTTGACATAAGATCTTCTCTAAGCATTATAGGGATATGGTTCTGAATATACACTACCGTTCAAACATTTGGGGTCACTTAGAAATGTCCTTGTTTTCGAAAGAAAAGCAATTTTTTGGTCCATTAAAATAACATCAAGTTGATCAGAAATACAGTGTAGACATTAATGTTGTAAATGGCTATTGTAGCTGAAACGGCTGATTTTTAATGGAATATCTACATAGGCGTACAGAGGCCCATTATCAGCAACCATCAGTCCTGTGTTCCAATGGCACGTTGTGTTTGCTAATCCAATTTTATCATTTTAAAAGGCTAATTGATCATTAGAAAACCCTTTTGCAATTATGTTAGCACAGCTGAAAACTGTTGTGCTGATTTAAAGAAGCAATAAAACTGGCCTTCTTGAGACTAGTTGAGTAACAAAAAACGTTCTTCTGAAACACGTCAGTCTATTCTTGTTCTGAGAAATGAAGGCTATTCATTTACATTTACATTTTTGTCATTTGGCAGACGCTCTTATCCAGAGCGACTTACAGTTAGTGAATGCATACATGTTTTTTTTTTGTTTTTTTTCATACTGGCTCCCCGTGGGAAACGAACCCACATCCCTGCCGGCCAAACCCTCCGCTGGACCAATTGTGCGCCGCCCATGGGTCTCCCGGTCGCGGCCGGCTGCGACAGAGCCTGCAACATAGCCAATTCCATGCGAGATTTGTCAAGAAACTGAAGATCTGGTACAATGCTGTGTACTACTCCCTTCACAGAACAGCACAAACTGTCTCTAACCAGAATAGAAAGAGGAGTGGGAGGCCCCGGTGCATAACTGAGCAAGAGGACAAATCCATTAGTGTCTAGTTTGAGAAACAGACGCCTCACAGGTCCTCAACTGGCAGCTTCATGAAATAGTACCTGCAAAACACCAGTCTCAATGTCAACAGTGAAGAGGCGATTCCGGGATGCTGGCCTTCCAGAGTTGCAAAGAAAAAGCAATATCTCAGACTGGCCAATAAAAAGAAAAGATTAAGATGGGCAAAATAACACAGACACTGGACAGAGGACAGAGGAAGATTGGAAAAAAGTGTTATGGACAGACGAATCGAAGTTTTGAGGTGTTCGGATCACAAAGAAGAACATTTGTGAGACGCAGACCAAATGAAAAGATGCTGGATGAGTGCTTGATGCCATCTGTCAAGCATGGTGGAGGCAATGTGATGGTCTGGGGGTGCTTTGGTGGCGGTAAAGTGGGAGATTTGTACAGGGTAAAAGGGATCTTGAAGAAGAAAGGCTATCACTCCATTTTGCAACGCCATGCCTTACCCTGTGGACGGCGCTTGATTGGAGCCAATTTCCTCCTACAACAGGACAATGACACAAAGCACAGCTCCAAACTATGCAAGAACTATTTAGGGAAGAAGCAGTCAGCTGGTATTCTGTCTATAATGGAGTAGCCAGCACAGTCACCGGATCTCAACCCTATTGAGCTGTTGTGGGAGCAGCTTGACCGTATGGTACGTAAGAAGTGCCCATCACGCCAATCCAACTTGTGGGAGGTGCTTCAGGAAGTATGGGGTGAAATCTCTTCAGATTACCTCAACAAATTGACAACTAGAATGCCAAAGGTCTGCAAGGCTGTAATTGCTGCAAATGGAGGATTCTTTGACGAAAGCAAACTTTGAAGGACACAATTATTATTTCCATTTAAAAATCATTATTTCTAACCTTGTCAATGACTACATTTCCTATGCATTTTGCTATATTTCCTATTCAAACTCATTTCATGTATGTTTTCATGGAAAACAAGGAAATGTCTAAATGACCCCAAACTTTTGAACGGTAGTGTGTGTGTGTGTGTGTGTGTGTGTGTGTGTGTGTGTGTGTGTGTGTGTGTACATACAGCAACACCTCCCCCATAAGCATTCCTGTCTCTTCTATAGATTTGTACATAACATTTTAGTCATTTAGCAGATGCTCTTATCCAGAGCGACTTACAGTTAGGGAGTGCATACATCATTCTTTTTTTATATATATATATATATTTTTACTGGCCCCCCGTGGGAATCGAACCCACAACCCTGGCGTTGCAAACGCCATGCTCAACCAACTGAGCTACATCCTGGACGACGCTGGGCCAATTGTGCGCCGCCCCATGGGTCTCCCGGTCACGGCCAGCTACGACAGAGCCTGGATTCAAACCAGGATCTCTAGTGGCACAGCTAACACTGCAATACAGTGCCTTAGACCACTGCGCCACTCGGGAGATTCATAGATAGATGTCCTTGTATTGCTACTGCTGTATCATCAAATGAATTATCTAAGTGAGTCTCTGAAATGGCTAATATATAAATGTTATCTGATGTTAGCAAGTTATTGATTTCATGAACCTTATTTCTAAGGCTACATATATTCACGTGCTATTTTCAGCCCTTTCCTGGGTAGCTTATCGGAGATAGGCATAATATTGAAAAGAGCAAACAAACAAAGATACATATATATATATATATATATATATATATATATATACATACAGTGGGGAGCTCCGACAGTGCAGTAATATCTAACAAGTAATATCTAACAATTTCACAACATATACCCAATACACACAAATCTAAGTAAGGAATGGAATTTAAGAATATATACATATATGGACAAGCAATGACAGAGCGTCATGGACTAAGATACAGTAGAATAGAATAGAACGCAGTATATACATATGAGATGAGTAGTGCAAGATATGTAAACATTATTGAAGTGACTAGTGGCCATTAATTTCAATAGGCAGTAGCAGCCTCTAATGTGCTAGTGATGGCTATTTAACAGTCTGATGGCCTTGAGATAGAAGCTGTTTTTCATTCTCTCGGTCCCAGCTTTGATGCACCTGTACTGACCTCGCCTTTTGGATGATAGCGGGGTGAACAGGCAGTGGCTCGGGTGGTTGATGTCCTTGATGATCTTTTTGGCCTTCCTGTGACATCGCGTGCTGTAGGTGTCTTGGAGGGCGGGTAGTTTGCCCCCGGTAATGCGTTCGGCAGACCGCACCACCCTCTGGAGAGCCCTGCGGTTGCGGGCAGTGCAGTTGCCGTACCAGGCGGTGATACAGCCCGACAGAATGCTCTCAATTGTGCACCTGTAAAATATTGAGGGTTTTAGGTGCCAAGCCAAATTTCTTCAGCCTCCTGAGGTTGAAGAGGCTCTGTTGCGCCTTCTTCACCACACTGTCTGCATGGGTGGACCATTTCAGCTTGTCAGTGATGTGTACGCCAAGGAACTTGAAGCTTTCCACCTTCTCCACTGTGGTCCCGTCGATGTGGATAGGGGGGTGCACCCTCTGCTGTTTCCTGAAGTCCACGATCATCTCCTTTGTTTTGTTGACGTGGAGTGCGACGTTATTTTCCTGGCACCACACTCCCAGAGCCCTCACCTCCTCCCTGTAGGCTGTCTCGTCGTTGTTGGTAATCAAGCCTACTACTGTTGTGTCGTCTGCAAACTTGATGATTGAGTTGGAGGCGTGCTTGGCCACGAAGTCATGGGTGAACAGGGAGTACAGGATGGGGCTGAGCATGCACCCTTGTGGGGCCCCAGTGTTGAGGATCAGCGAAGTGGAGATGTTGTTTCCTACCTTCACCACCTGGCGGCGGCCCGTCAGGAAGTCCAGGACCCAGTTTCACAGGGCGGGGTTCAGACCCAGGGTCTCAAGCTTAATGATGAGCTTGGAGGGTACTATGGTGTTGAATGCTGAGCTATAGTCAATGAACAGCATTCTTACATAGGTATTCCTCTTGTCCAGATGGGATAGGGCAGTGTGATGGCGATTGCATCGTCTGTGGATCTATTGGGGCGGTAAGCAAATTGAAGTGGGTCTAGGGTGACAGGTAAGGTAGAGGTGATAGGATCCTTGACTAGTCTGTCAAAGCACTTCATGATGACAGTGGTGAGTGCTACGGGGCGATAGTCATTTAGTTCAGTTACCTTTGCTTTCTTGGGTACAGGAACAATGGTGGCCATCTTGAAGCATGTGGTAACAGCAGACTGGGAAAGGGAGAGATTGAATATGTCCGTAAACACACCAGCCAGCTGGTCTGCGCATGCTCTGAGGACGCGGCTAGGAATGCCGTCTTGGCGGCAGCCTTGCGAGGGTTAACATGCTTAAATGTCTTACTCACATCAGCCACGGAGAAGGAGAGACCACAGTCCTTGGTAGTGGGCCTCGTCGGTGGCACTGTGTTATCCTCAAAGCGGGCGAAGGTGTTTAGCTTGTCTGGAAGCGAGACGACGGTGTCGGCGACGTGGCTGGTTTTCCTTTTGTAGTCCGTGATTGTCTGTAGACGCTGCCACATATGTCTCGTGTCTGAGCCGTTGAATTCCGACTCCACTTTGTCTCTATACTGATGTTTTGCCAGTTTAATTGCCTTGCGGAGTGAGTAGCTACACTGTTTGTATTCTGCCATATTCCCAGTCACCTTGCCATGGTTAAATGCGGTGGTTCGCGTGTTCAGTTTTGCGTGAATGCTGCCATCTATCCACGGTTTCCGGTTAGGGTAGGTTTTAATGGTCACAGTTGGCACAACATCGCCTATACACTTCCTGATAAACTCAGTCACCGTTTCAGTGTATTCGTCTAAATTATTTTCGCAAGCTACCTGGAACATATCCCAGTTCCACGTGATCAAAACAATCTTGAAGTGTGGATTCCGATTGGTCAGACCAGCGTTGAATAGTCCTTAGCACGGGTACTTCCTGTTTGAGTTTCTGCCTATAGGAAGGGAGGAGCAAAATGGAGTCATGGTCAGATTTGCTGAAAGGAGGGCAGGGGAGGGCCTTATAACCATCCCGGAAGTTCGAATAGCAATGGTCGAGGATTTTAGCGGCGCGAGTACAACAGTCGTTATGTTGATAGAACTTCGGCAGCCTGGTCCTCAAATTTGCTTTGTTAAAATCCCCAGCTACAAATGTGGTTTCCAGTTTGCATAAAGTCCAGTGAAGTTATTTGATGGCTGCCGTGGTATCGACTTGAGGGGGGATATACACGGCCGTGACTATAACCAAAGAGAATTCTCTTGGGAGATAATACGGTCGGCATTTGATTGTGAGGTATTCTAGGTCGGGTGAACAGAAAGACTTGAGTTCCCGTATGTTACTACAATTACACCATGAGTCGTTAATCATGAAACACACACCTGCGCCCTTCTGCTTCCCAGAGAGATATTTATTCCTGTCTGCGCGATGAACTGAGATCCATCTGGCTGGACCGATTTCTACAGAATATCCCCAGAGAGCGATGTTTCCGTGAAACAAAGTATGTTACAGGCCTTGATGTCTCTCTGGAAAGAAATCCTTGCCCGGACCCCGTCGAGCTTGTTAACCAGAGACTGAACATTAGCGAGTAGTATACTTGGAAGCGGTGGGTGGTGTGCGTGTCTCCTAACTCAAACCAGCAGGCCGCTCCGAATGCCTCTCCTCCGCCGGCGATGTTTTTGGTCAGCCGCTGGAATCAGTTCAATTGCCCTGGGGAGAGCAAACAAAGGATCTGCTTCGGGAAAGTCGTATTCCTGGTCGTAATGTTGGTGAGTTACCGCCGCTCTGATATTCAACAGTTTTTTCCGGCTGTATGTAATGATACAAAACACTTTCTGAGCTAATAATGTAAAAAATAATACATAAAAAAACAAAATATCGCGATGTTTCCTAAGAGCTAGTTGCGAGGCCGCCATCCTCGTCGGCGCCAGGTACAATTCAGGATAGTCCTCGTTGAGGAAGATGTACGTTCCTCTCAAGTTCTTGGCTCTTTCCAGAACAGCTACCTTGTTCTTGAACCTCAGGAACTTGACCACTATCAGCCTGGGCCTGTCACCTGGGCCGGTGGTGGGTTTTCCTGTCCTGTGGGCGCGCTCCACCTCAATCTTCTTGTGGTCCATCTTCAATTTCTCACAGATCATTTCCCTCACTTTGTCATCCGACTCCGTCCAGGTCACGTGGAGATTCTGCAATTCTGTCCACAACCATGTTATTCCGCCTTGATTGTCCTTTGAGAATCTGATTTATCCATCATTGTTGTCATGGATTCACACACAGAACTGATGTCCTCTCTGAATGACTTACAGATTGCTGTCATCTTGCCGTTCTCCTGTTTAAACTCATTGAGCTGACCCTGGGAGAACTGCAAGCTGTTCAAGTCCTGGACCTCTCTGGTCAGGTCATCCAGTCTTTTATTAGTTAACTCAACCAGTATTTGGACAAAACACTCAAAGCATTTTCTTGTTGTTGTATCAACTGCTTGTAGAACTCTTTTTGTTCGTTTAAAAGATCCTTCACCTGTGATAGACACCACTGTCCTCAACGGTACTCCCACCGGCTTTGGTCTTTGTCTTGGTAGCGACGTAGGTTACGCTGTTACTCCTCTCAGTTCCAGACAGGACAGGTCACAGGGAAGATTTTAAAACAGCAGGGATCTAGTCCTGTGTAGCTCAGTTGGTAGAGCATGGCGTTTGCAACGCCAGGGTTGTGGGTTCGATTCCCACGGGGGGCCAGTATGAAAAATGTATGCACTCACTAACTGTAAGTTGCTCTGGATAAGAGCGTCTGCTAAAAGCCTAAAATGTAAAATGTATGCAGCCACAAACCCGGGACAATCCTCGGTCCCAGCCACAATGGCTAACCACGTCGCGGGATGCGTTCAAGCCCTCAAGAAGCCCAGCTAGCTTGATAGGCAGCTAGCTAGCAGCTACGCCAAATAGCTCCTCACAGAGAGTAGCAGTCCCAGCAACTGATGCCAACTGCATCACGGGATCCAAACTATAAAGTTAACAAGCTACTAAAATGTTTCAATACACTTTTAAAACAACAAACTTTTCCAAAACAACAAACCGAGCTCTCCCTCGTTCAGCGTTCAACAGGAAGTGACGTTCCACTGGAGTTGTTGATCATTACGGACTACATTACAGGGTAGTGATCAATAGACAGGAAAGGTAAGGTACTGACTACATTACAGGGTAGTGATCAATAGACAGGGAAAGGTAAGGTACTGACTACATTACAGGGTAGTGATCAATAGATGGGGTAAGGTACTGACTACGTTACAGGGTAGTGATCAATAGATAGGGGAAAGGTAAGGTACTGACTACATTACAGGGTAGTGATCAATAGACAGGGAAAGGTAAGGAAAGGATACATTACAGGGAAAGTGGATCAATAGACAGGGAAAAGGTAAGGAAACTGAATACATTACAGGGTAGTGATCAATAGATGGGGTAAGGTACTGACTACATTACAGGGTAGTGATCAATAGACAGGGAAAGGTAAGGTACTGACTAATTACAGGGTAGTGATCAATAGACAAGGGAAAGGTAGGTACTGACTACATTACAGGGGAGTGATCAATAGACAGGGAAAGGTAAGGTTCTGACTGCATTACAGGGTAGTTATATATATATACTGGGAAAGGTAAGGTACTGATTACATTACAGGGTAGTGATCAATAGACAGGGGAAAGGTAAGGTACTGACTACATTACAGGGTAGTGATCAATAGACAGGGAAAAGGTAAGGTACTGACTACATTACAGGGTAGTGATCAATAGACAGGGAAAGGTAAGGTACTGACTACATTACAGGGTAGTGATCAATAGACAGGGAAAGGGTAAGGTACTGGACTACATTACAGGGTTAGTGATCAATAGACAGGGAAAGGTTAATGGTACATGGGACTACCTTACAGGGTAGTGATCAATAGACAGGGAAAGGTAAGGGTACCTGACTACATTACAGGGGTTAGTGATCAATAGACCGGGAAAGGTAAAGGTACTGATACAATTTGAACATGGGTATGATCAATAGAACAGGTGGAAAGGTTAAGGTACTGATTACATTACACAGGGGAGTGTAATCATAGACATTGGGAAAGGTAAGGTGCTGACTACACTACAGGGTAGTTGATCAATAGACAGGGTAAAGGTAAGGTACTGACTACGTTACAGGGTAGTGATCAATAGACAGGGGAACGGTACGGTTACTGACTACATAACAGTGGTAGTGCTCAATAGACAGGGAAAGGTAAGTGTAACTGGACTAACCATTATCAGGGTCAGTGATCAATAGACAGGGGAAAGGTAAAGGTTTGCTGACTCATTACAGGGTAGGATCACATTAGACAGGGGGGAAAGGTAAGGTACTGACTAACATTACAGGGTAGTGATCAATAGGACAGGGGAAAGGTAAGGTACTGACTACGTTACAGGGTAGTGATCATAGACAGGGAAAGGTAAGGTACTGACTAAAATTTACAGGGTTTAAGTGATATATAGACAGACAGGGAAAGGTAAGGTAAGAACTACATACAGGGTAGTGGACAATAGACAAGGGGAAAGGTAAGGTGCTGAAAACTTTAAAGGGGTTAGTGATCAATAGACAGGAAAGGTAAGGTACTGACTACATTACAGGGTAGTGACCCAATAGACAGGGGAAAGGTAAGGTACTGACTACATTCAGGGTAGTGATCAATAGACAGGGGAAAAGGTAAGGTATACTAAACCAGGGTAGTGATTCAATAGAACAGGGAAAGGTAAGGTATGACTACATTACAGGGAGTGATCAATAGACAGGGTAAAGGTACTGACTACCATTTACAGGGGAGTGATCAATAGACAAGGAAAGGTAAGGTACTGACTACATTACAGGGTAGTTATATATATATACTGGGAAAGGTTTAAGGTTACTGATTACATTACAGGGTAGTGATAAAATAGACAGGGAAAGGTAAGGTAACTGACTACATTAAAAGGGGAGTGATAAAATAGACAGGGGAAAGTAAGGGTAACTGACTACATTACAGGGTAGTGATCAATAGACAGGGGAAAGGTAAAAAGGTGCTGACTACATTACAGGGGTAGTGATCAATAGACAGGGGAAAGGTAAGGTACTGACTACGTTACAGGGTAGTGATCAATAGATGGGGTAAGGTACTGACTACGTTACAGGGTAGTGATCAATAGACAGGGAAAGGTAAGGTACTGACTACATTACAGGGTAGTGATCAATAGACAGGGAAAGGTAAGGTACGACTACATTACAGGGTAGTGATCAATAGACAGGGGAAAGGTAAGGTACTGACTACATTACAGGGTAGTGATCAATAGACAGGGAAAGGTAAGGTACTGACTACATTACAGGGTAGTGATCAATAGACAGGGGAAAGGTAAGGTACTGACTACATTACAGGGTAGTGATCAATAGACAGGGAAAGGTAAGGTACTGACTACATTACAGGGTAGTGATCAATAGACAGGGGAAAGGTAAGGTACTGACTACATTACAGGGGAGTGATCAATAGACAGGGGAAAGGTAAGGTACTGACTACATTACAGGGTAGTGATCAATAGACAGGGGAAAAGGTAAGGTACTGACTACATTACAGGGAAACTGAAGATGAAGGTTTAGGTAGTATTCAACCTTCCCATGGAACTCAGTTTCAAAAAGTTTTCTCCTGTTTTGTGTTCCAGAGCATGGCCCTGGGCAGCACTGAGACAGTGTGCTAACTTGGTCCTGGGCAGCACTGAGACAGTGTGCTAACTTGGTCCTGGGCAGCTCCCTGGGCAGCACTGAGACAGTGTGCTAACTTGGTCCTGGGCAGCTCTGAGACAGTGTGCTAACTTGGCCCTGGGCAGCACTGAGACAGTGTGCTAACTTGGCCCTGGGCAGCTCTGAGACAGTGTGCTAACTTGGCCCTGGGCAGCTCCCTGGGCAGCACTGAGACAGTGTGCTAACTTGGCCCTGGGCAGCTCTGAGACAGTGTGCTAACTTGGCCCTGGGCAGCTCCCTGGGCAGCACTGAGACAGTTTGCTAACTTGGCCCCCCGGGCAGCTCTGAGACAGTGTGCTAACTTGGCCCTGGGCCAGCTCTGAGGACAGTGGCTAATCTTGGTCCTGGGCAGCACTGAGACAGTGTGCTAACTTGTCCTGGGCAGCTCCCTGGGCAGCACTGAGAAGTGTGCTAATTTGGCCCTGGGCAGCTCTGAGACAGTGTGTTTAATTTGGGTCCTGGGCAGCTCTGAGACAGTGTGCTAACTTGGCCCTGGGCAGTTTCCCTGGGCAGCACTGAGACATGTGCTAAATTGGTCCTGGGCAGCTCTGAGACAGTGTGCTAACTTGGTCCGGGGCCCAGCTCTGAGACAGTGTGCTAACTTGGCCCTGGGCAGCTCCCTGGGCAGCACTGAAGACAGTGTGCTAACTTGGTCCTGGGCAGCTCTGAGACAGTGTGCTAACTTGGTCCTGGGCAGCTCTGAGACAGTGTGCTAACTTGGTCCTGGGCAGCTCTGAGACAGTGTGCTAACTTGGCCCTGGGCAGCTCCCTGGGCAGCACTGAGACAGTGTGCTAACTTGGCCCTGGGCAGCTCCCTGGGCAGCACTGAGACAGTGTGCTAACTTGGTCCTGGGCAGCCCTAGACAGTGGTGCTAACTTGGGCCCCTGGGCAGCTCCCTGGGCAGCACTGAGACAGTGTGCTAACTTGGTCCTGGGCAGCTCTGAGACAGTGTGCAAACTTGGTCCTGGGCAGCTCTGAGACAGTGTGCTAACTTGGTCCTGGGCAGCTCTGAGACAGTGTGCTAACTTGGCCCTGGGCAGCTCTGAGACAGTGTGCTAACTTGGCCCTGGGCAGCTCCCTGGGCAGCACTGAGACAGTGTGCTAACTTGGCCCTGGGCAGCTCTGAGACAGTGTGCTAACTTGGCCCTGGGCAGCTCCCTGGGCAGCTCTGAGACAGTGTGCTAACTTGGCCCTGGGCAGCTCCCTGGGCAGCTCTGAGACAGTGTGCTAACTTGGCCCTGGGCAGCTCCCTGGGCAGCTCTGAGACAGTGTGCTAACTTGGTCCTGGGCAGCTCTGAGACAGTGTGCTAACTTGGTCCTGGGCAGCTCTGAGACAGTGTGCTAACTTGGTCCTGGGCAGCTCCCTGGGCAGCTCTGAGACAGTGGGCTAACTTGGCCCTGGGCAGCTCTGAGACAGTGTGCTAACTTGGTCCTGGGCAGCTCCATGGGCAGCTCTGAGACAGTGGGCTAACTTGGCCCTGGGCAGCACTGAGACAGTGTGCTATCTTGGTCCTGGGCAAGCTCTGGACGTGTGCTAAAATTGGTCCTGGCAGCTCTGAGACAGTGTGCTAACTTGGTCCTGGGGCAGTTTCTGAGGACAGTGTGCTAACTTGGCCCTGGGCAGTTCTGAGACAGTGTGCTAACTTGGCCCGGGGGCAGCTCTGAGACAGTGTCCCTAACTTGGCCCTGGGAAAGCTCCCGGGGCAGCTCTGAGCCCGTGTGTAACTTGGTTTCCGGGGGCAGCTCTGGGGACAGTGTGCTAACTTGGTCCGGGCAGCTTCCCCTGGGCACACTGAGACAGTTTGCTAACTTGGCCTGGGAGCTATTGAGACAGTTGTGCAACTTGGCCCTGGGCAGCACTGAGCCCGGGGTGCTAATTGGCCCTGGGCAGCTTCCCTGGGCAGCACTGGGGAAAAGTGTGCTAACTTGGGCCTGGGCAGTTTCCCTGGGCACTCTGAGACAGTGTGCTAACTTGGTCCTGGGCAGTTTCTGAGACAGTGTGCTAATTTGGGGTCCTGGGCAGCTCTGGGGAAACAGTGTGCTAACTTGGCCCTGGGCAGCTCTGAGACAGTGTGCTAACTTGGCCCTGGGCAGCTCTGAGACAGTGCGCTAACTCATACCTATTGTCACATGTCTGGCAAAGCAATAATGTGATTTTACAATAATAATGTTGTTATTCCTGTTCCTCAGATCTGTTCTGCTATCGCTGTGGAGAGCCTGGTCACGTCGCTAGGGACTGTGAGAGGACTGAGGATGGTGAGGACGTCTCATCTTAGAAAAATGATGACCACACTTGTGTTTACATCAGACCAGTTTAGGAGTTTGACTACTAGTCTGATGTTGGGTTAGTGAGATGTTCCTGTATGTTGTGTGTTGTTTCTGCAGCATGCTATAACTGTGGTCGTGGAGGACACATCTCCAGGGACTGTAAGGAGCCCAAGAAGGAGAGGGAACAGGTCTGTCAAGGCTTAACAGAATAATATTCTATGTTAATCATGTTATTATTTGGTCCCTATAAAACCACGTATTCTTTTGCCTGATTGTGTTTTTCTTGTGGGGGGGGTGTAGTTCCCTGTAATGCAAGTGTTCACCAGCCAGTGCTTCTGTTTTTCTTGTGGGGGGGTGTAGTTCCCTTTCATGCAAGTGTTCACCAGCCAGTGCTTCTGTTTTTCTTGTGGGGGGGTGTAGTTCCCTTTCATGCAAGTGTTCACCAGCCAGTGCTTCTGTTTTTCTTGTGGGGGGGTGTAGTTCCCTTTCATGCAAGTGTTCACCAGCCAGTGCTTCTGTTTTTCTTGTGGGGGGGTGTAGTTCCCTGTAATGCAAGTGTTCACCAGCCAGTGCTTCTGTGATTGCAGAGTTAGCAAAACAAATGACCACTGGATTGGTGCAAATAATCTATCATTTTGCCAGGTATGCATAGGCGACTTTGTAGTTTAACATTTTATTGAGAAGGTTTTTGGGAAAGCCTTTCCTTCAACCAGAGACCGTTATCATTAGCATTATTGCTAACAGCTACACAGCGTGTAGACCAGACATACAGAATACTACAACACACATACAGGGGCATTCCTGCGCCCTTTCACAATGTGGCACTGATCAAATCACTGATGCATTTTGTTCATGTCTTGTGATTAACTTGGGCAAATGAATGCATTTTATAATTTACAATACATTTAGTTGATTTCCTTCTAAGTTGGTATTTGGTATTTTGGTATTTTATTAGGATCCCCATTAGCTATTCCAAAAGCAGCAGCTACTCTTCCTGGGATCCACATAAAACAAGAAACATGACATAATACAGAACATTAATAGACAAGAACGGCTGAAGGACAGAACTACATCTTTTTTTTTTTAAAGCACACGTAAGCTTACATATCAGTACATACACACTAACTATCTAGGTCAAATAGGGGAGAGGCGTCGTGCCGTGAGGTGTTGCTTTATCTGTTTTCTGAAACCAGGTTTGCTGTTTATTTGAGCAATATGAGATGGGAGTTCCATGCTCAGTTGGTAGGGTTGTGGGTTCGATTCCCACGGGGGACCAGTACAAAAATGTATGCACTCACTACTGTAAGTCGCTCTGAATATAGAGAGTCTGCTAAATGACTTAAATGTAAATAATGGCTCTATATAATACAGTACGCTTCTTGAATTTGTTCTGGATTTGGGGACTGTGAAAAGGCCCCCTGGTGGCATGTCTGGGGGGGTCAGAGCTGTGTGTAAGTTGACTATGTAAACAATTTGGGATTTTCAACACATTAATCTTTCTTATAAAAAGAACTGATGCAGTCAGTCTTTCCTCAACTCTTAGCCAAGAGAGACTGGCATGCATATTATTTATATCAGCCCTCTGATTACAATGAAGAGCAAGACGTGCCGCTCTGTTCTGGGCCATCTGCAGCTTAACTAGGTCTTTCCTTGCAGCACTCGACCACACAACTGGAACAATATGAAATCCAATTTTATTTGCCACATGCGCCGAATACAACAGGTGTAGACATTAGTGAAATGCTTACTTTCAAGCCCTTAACCAACAATGCAGTTTTTAAAGAAAAAAGTAAAATAAAAAAAGTGTTAAGTAAAAAAATGTTTAAGCAAATAACTAAAGAGCAGCAGTAAAATAAGATGACAGTAGGGAGGCTATATACAGGGGGGTACCGGTACACAGTCAATGTGCGGGGGCACCAGCTAGTCGAGGTAATTGAGGTAATATGTACATGTGGGTAGAGTTAAAGTGATTATGCATAAATAATAAACAGAGTAGCAGCAGCATAAAAGAGGGGGACGGGGTGGGGGTGCAAATAGTCCGGGTAGCCATGATTAGCTGTTCAGGAGTCTTATGGCTTGGGGATAGAAGCTGTTGAGAAGCCTTTTGGACCTAGACTTGGCGCTCCGGTACCGCTTGCCGTGCGGTAGTAGAGAGAACAGTCTATGACTAGGGTGGCTGGAGTCTTTGACAGTTTTTAGGGCCTTCCTCTGACACCGCTTGGTATAGAGGTGCTGGATGGCAGGAAGCTTGGCCCCAGTGATGTACTGGGCCGTACGCACTACCCTCTGTAGTGCCTTGCGGTCGGAAGCCGAGCAGTTGCCATACCAGGCGGTGATGCAGCCAGTCAGAATGCTCTCGATGGTGCAGCTGTAGAACCTTTTTGAGGATCTGAGGACCCATGCCAAATCCTTTCAGTCTCCTGAGGGGGAATAGGCTTTGTTATGCCCTCTTCACGACTGTCTTGGTGTGTTTAGACCATGATAGTTTGTTGGTGATGTGAACACCAAGGAACTTGAAGCTCTCAACCTGTTCCACTACAGCCCCGTCGATGAGAATGGGGGCGTGCTCGGTCCTCTTCTTTTTCCTGTAGTCCACAATCATCTCCTTTGTCTTGATCACATTGAGGGAGAGGTTGTTATCCTGGCACCACACGGCCAGGTCTCTGACCTCCTCCCTATAGGCTGTCTCATCGTTGTCGGTGATCAGGCCTACCACTGTTGTGTTGTCGGCAGACTTAATGATGGTGTTGGAGTCGTGCCTGGCCATGCAGTCATGGGTGAACAGGGTGTACAGGAGGGGACTGAGCACGCACCCCTGAGGGGCCCCCGTGTTGAGGATCAGCGTGGCAGATGTGTTGTTACCTACCCTTGGTGTTCTTGGACATGAGTGCTAAAGGTCAATAATATCAAAGGCTGCACTGAAATCTAACAGTACAGCTCCCACAATCTTCTAATTATCAATTTATTTCATCCAATCATCAGTCATTTGTGTCAGTGCAGTGCAGTACATGTTGAGTGCACTTCTATATAAGCATGCTGAAAGTCTGTTGTTCATTTTTTTACAGAGAAATAGCATTGCATTTGGTCAAATACTATTTTTTCAAACATTTTGCTAAGAGCTGTTGGAACCAGTAAAGGCAGCTTTACCACTCTTGGGTAACGGAATGACTTTGGCTTCCCTCCAGGCCTGAGGACAAAGACTTTCCTCTAGGCTCAGATTAAAGATATGACAGATAGGAGTGGCTATAGAGTCAGCTACCATCCTCAGTAGCTTTCCATCTAAGTTGTCAATGCCAGGAGGTTTGTCATTTGTCACTAACTTTTCTAACTTGTTTTTTAATGCATGAATACGATGGCACACTGTTCGTTGTTGGCATTTCCTGCCTAAGTTTGCCCACTTTGCCAATGAAGTAATCATTAAAATAATTGGCAACATCAAATGGTTTTGTGATGAATAAGCCATCTGATTCGATGAAAGATGGAGTTGAATTTGTCTTTCTGCCCATAATTTCATTTAAAGTACTCCAAAGTAGTTATTTCCATCATTCTTTATATCATTGATCTTGGCTTCATAATACAGTTTCTTCTTCTTTTTGTTGAGTTTAGTCACATCATTTCTCAATTTGCAGTAAGTCAGCCAGTCAGATGTGCAGCCAGACTTATTAGCCACTCCTTTTGCCACGTCTCTTTCAACCAGACAGTTTATCAATTCCTCATCAACCCATGGAGCCTTAACAGTTCTAACAGTCAGTTTCTTAACAGGTGCATGTTTATCAATAATTGGAAGAAGCAATTTCATAAATTCATCAAATGCAGCGTCTGGATGCTCCTTATTGATCACATCAGACCACCAAATATTTTTACATCATCCACATAAGTCACCGCTAAATCATTTGTATGATCTCTTATACACTATTTTAGGCCCAGCTGTTGGAACTTTGGCTTTCCTGGATATAGCCACTATATTGTGATCACTGCATCCAATGGGTACGGAAACAGCTTTAGAACAAAGTTCTACAGTATTAGTAAAAATGTGATCAATACATGTGGATGATCTTGTTCCTGTAGTGTTTGTAAACACCCTGATAGGTTGATTTAATAACCTGAACCAGATTACAGGTTACTTTTATTTTATTTATATAACCTTTATTTAACCAGGTAAGCCAGTTCAGAACAAGTTCTCATTTACAACTGCGACCTGGCCAAGATAAAGCAAAGCAGTGCGATAAAAACAACAACAACACAGAGTTACATATGGGGTAAAACAACACATAAAGTCAATAACACAACAGAAAATATATATACAGTGTGTGCAAATGTAGTAAGTTATGGAGGTAAGGCAATAAATAGGCCATAGTGCAAAATAATTACAATTTAGTATTAACACTGGAATGATAGATGTGCAGAAGATGATGTGCAAATAGAGATACTGGGGTGCAAATGAGTAAAATAAATAACAATGTAAATAACAATATGGGGATGAGGTAGTTGGGTGGGATAATTACAGATGGGCTGTGTACAGGTGCAGTGATCGGTAAGGTGCTCTGACAACTGATGCTTAAAGTTAGTGAGGGAGATAAGTGTCTCCAGCTTCAGAGATTTTTGCAGTTCGTTCCAGTCATTTGCAGTAGAGAACTGGAAGGAATGGCGGCCAAAGGAGGTGTTGGCTTTGGGGATGACCAGTGAGATATACCTGCTGGAGCGCATACTACGGGTGGGTGTTGCTGTGGTGACCAATGAGCTAAGATAAGGCGGGGATTTGCCTAGAATAGATTTATAGATGACCTGGAGCCAGTGGGTTTGGCGACGAATATGTAGTGAGGGCCAGCCAACGAGAGCGTACAGGTCACAGTGGTGGGTAGTATATGGGGCTTTGGTGACAAAACGGATGGCACTGTGATTACATCCAATTTGCTGAGTATAGTGTTGGAAGCTATTTTGTAAATGACATCGCCGAAGTCAAGGATCAGTAGGATAGTCAGTTTTACGAGGGCATGTTTAGCAGCATGAGTGAAGGAGGCTTTGTTGCAAAATAGGAAGCCAATTCTAGATTTAACTTTGGATTGGAGATGCTTAATGTGAGTTTGGAAGGACAGTTTACAGTCTAACCAGACACCTAGGTATTTGTAGTTGTCCACATGCATTACTAGCTGTTTGGGGTTTTAGGCTGGGTTTCTGTACAGCACTTCGAGATATTAGCTGATGTAAGAAGGGCTATATAAAATAAAATTGATTGATTGATTGATTGATATTGTAAGTCAGACCCGCCCGAGAGTAGTGATTCTAGTCGGGTGGGCGGGTGCAAGCAGCGTTCGATTGAAGAGCATGCATTTTGTTTTACTAGCGTTAAAGAGCAGTTGGAGGCCACGGAAGGAGTGTTGTATGGCATTGAAGCTCGTTTGGAGGTTTGTTAACACAGTGTCCAATGAAGGGCCAGATGTATACAAAATGGTGTCGTCTGCGTAGAGGTGGATCTGAGAGTCACCAGCAGCAAGAGCGACATCATTGATATACACAGAGAAAAGAGTCGGCCCAAGAATTGAACCCTGTGGCACCCTCATAGAGACTGCCATAGGTCCAGACAACAGGCCCTCCGATTTGACACATTGAACTCTATCTGAGAAGTAGTTGGTGAACCAGGCGAGGCAATCATTTGAGAAACCAAGGCTATTTAGTCTGCCAAAAAGAATGCGGTGATTGACAGAGTCGAAAGCCTTGGCCAGGTCGATGAAGACGGCTGCACAGTACTGTCTATTACCGATCACGGTTATAATATTGTTTAGGACCTTGAGCGTGGCTGAGGTGCACCCATGACCAGCTCGGAAACCAGATTGCATAGCGGAGAAGGTACGGTGGGATTCGAAATGGTCGGTGATCTGTTTGTTTAACTTGGCTTTCAAATACTTTCGAAAGGCAGGGCAGGATGGATATAGGTCTGTAACAGTTTGGATCTAGAGTGTCACCCCCTTTGAAGAGGGGGATGACCGCGGCAGCTTTCCAATCTCTGGGGATCTCAGACGTTACGAAAGAGAGGTTGAACAGGCTAGTAATAGGGATTGCGACAATTTCGGCGGCTAGTTTTAGAAAGAAAGGGTCCAGATTGTCTAGCCCAGCTGATTTGTAGGGGTCCAGATTTTGCAGCTCTTTCAGAACATCAGCTATCTGAATTTGGGTGAAGGAGAAGCGGGGGGGGGGCATGGGCAAGTTGCAGCGGAGGGTGCAGAGCTGGTGGCCGGGGTAGTGGTAGCCAGGTGGAAAGCATGGCCAGCTGTAGCAAAATGCTTATTGAAATTCTCGATTATTGTAGATTTATCGGTGGTGACAGTGTTTCCTAGCCTCAGTGCAGTGGGTAGCTGGGAGGAGGTGCTCTTATTCTCCATGGACTTTACAGTGTACCAAAACTTTTTGGAGTTAGTGCTACAGGATGCAAATTTCTGTTTGAAAAACAGTGAGAAGCCTTCTCTTGAGCAGACAGCTTGATGAAAACCAGTCAATATTCAGGTCCCCAAGAAAGTAGACCTTTCTGTATACATCACATACACTATCAAGCATTTCACACATTATTTAGATACTGACTGTTAGCACATGGTGGCCAATAGCAACACCCCAAAAGAAAAGGCTTTAGATGTGCCAAGTGAACCTGCAACCACAACACTTCCATAACACTTGATATAGCAACACCTCCCCCATAAGCATTCCTGTCTCTTCTATAGATGTTATATCCTTGTATTACTACTGCTGTATCATCAAATGAATTATCTAAGTGAGTCTCAGAAATGGATGAATGTTATCTGATGTTAGCAAGTTATTGATTTCATGAACCTTATTTCTAAGGCTACATATATTGATATGAGCTATTTTCAGCCCTTTCCTGGGCAGCTTATCAGAGATAGACATAATATGGAAAAGAGCAAACAAAGCAAGATTAAAAAAAATATACATTCAGCATCCATTAATCAATTGGTGTGTGTGTGCTGCGGGGTTGAAGCTACGAACCCAAAGGCTTGGCTCTCTCATCCCTTCCAGGCTGTTTGGAGGGAGGGTGGACAATGAGCCTGTCATAGCAGATGTAAGCAATGTCCCCATGCGCTCTGGCAGATTTCATGGCTGGGAAAGGTTATTTCCTCTTCTGCCGCACAGCTTCAGGACAGTCCCTGTTGAGGAAGATATACGTTCCTCTCAAGTTCTTGGCTCTTTCCAGAACAGCTACCTTGTCCTTGAACCTCAGGAACTTGACCACTATCGGCCTGGGCCTGTCACCTGGGCCGGTGGTGGGTTTTCCAGTCCTGTGGGCGCGCTCCACCTCAATCTTCCTGTGGTCCATCTTCAGTTTCTCAGAGATCATTTGCCTCACTTTGTCCTCAGACTCTGTCCAGGTCTCATTTGGAGATTCTGCAATTCTGTCCACAACCATGTTGTTTCCCCTCGATTGTCCGTTGAGATCATCTGATTTCTCCGTCATTGTTATCATGGATTCACACACACAACTGATGTCCTCTCTCAATGACTTACAGATTGCTGTCATCTTGACGTTCTCCTGTTTAAACTCATCGAGCTGACCCTGGGAAAACTCAAACTGTTCTTCAGGTCCTGGACATCTCTGGTCAGGTCATCCATTATTTTATTAGTTGAATCAACCAGTATTTGGACAAAACACTTGAAGCTATTTTCTTGTCGTTGTAACAACTGCTTGTAGAACTTTTTTGTTCGTTTTAAATTATCCTTCACCTGTGATAGACACCACTGTCCTCAACGGTACTCCCACCGGCTTTGGTCTTTGTCATGGTAACAATGTAGGTTACACTGTTACTCCTCGTAGTTCCAGACAGGGCAGGTCGCAGGGAAGATTGAAAACAACAACAACAACAACAACAAACAGCAGGGGTCTAGACAGCCACAAGTCTGGGACAATCCACAGTCCCAGCCACAATGGCTAACCGCGTCACGGGCTGCGTTCAAGCCCTCAAGAAACCCCCGCTGGCTTGATAGGCAGCTAGCTAGCAGCTAGGCTAGTTGCTATGCCAAATAGCTCCTCAGACCAGGCTTTGGTCGGCGGGATCACTGGACAGATAGTAGCGGTCCCAGCAACTGATGCTAGCTAGGTAGCTAGCTAGAAACTTTCCAAAACAACAAACCGAGCTCTCCCTCGTTCCGCATTCAATACATTTAGTTGATTTCCTACTAAATTCAATACATATTTGAATATTTTAGAATTTTGTTTTTATGTCTGGATTCCGTCCACGTTTTCCACAGTGATGATTTTATAGGGCCCTAATATAATGCAGGTGTGTTATAACTGTGGCCGGTGATTTATGTTCTTAATTGTTATATTATAATGTTATAGCCTAATTTTATTTATTTAATACGTTTATTTAACTTATTGTGTTACTGTTATCATGTTATAATGCTATGATGTTACAATATTATGTCGTTATACAGGTCTGTTATAACTGTGGCAAGGCCGGCCATGTGGCCCGGGACTGTGACCATGCCAACGAGCAGAAGTGTTACTCCTGTGGAGGCTTCGGCCATATCCAGAAGGGCTGTGACAAGGTCAAGTGTTACAGGTGAGTTAAAACATACCATTACTAGGACTCATCCAGAAGGGCTGTGAGAAGGTGAGCACATCTTTTTTACAAGGTAAACTGGCCAGTGTATCGTTAAGCTGCTTCCCTGTGATATGTTTGAGTTGGGGCAGCCATGATGGAAGGCCAGGTATCACTAGTGTGTGTGTCAGGTACAAATCAGTTGGAAAGGTTGATACCAAAAGATGAGACCTCTATAGTATTCTTTTAAATATCAGGACATAAAACGTTGTCCCGAATAACTCCCTTGTCTTACCTAAACCTCATCTCTCTCCTCTCTGTCTCCCACCAGGTGTGGTGAGATCGGCCATGTTGCCGTCCAGTGCAGCAAGGCCAGCGAAGTCAACTGCTACAACTGCGGCAAGTCTGGTCACCTGGCTAAAGAATGTACCATCGAGGCCACGGCCTAGCGCTCGGTTACCTTCATACGCCCCTCCTTTTTCACATGGATGGTTGTATAATTTTGTCTGAATCCTCCCCTCTGGCCCGCGGCAGGCTACGGAGGCTCGTCCCACACCAGTCCGCTGGAAAAGGAGGACGGGTTGAAACATCCACTTTCTACATTTAATCCAACATGTTTGTTTAGTTTGTTAGAGGTTAATGTATAATGCTTTGTTAAAGAACCCCCTTTCCATGCCACTGGTGACCAGGGATGAATGATGAGTGGATGCCCTCCCTACCAGGTCCGGGAAACCAGCCCTTAGTGAGAGTGAGTGGGTAGGAAGTCTCTGTCAGAGCTTCCCATAAAGATTGACTTTGTTTTAGTTTTCTGGAACAAAAAACGGAGTCGACCTGCGAGAGAGTGACTGATGTGAGACAGCAGCCCCGGCCAGTGGTCGTTATGGTTACGGTTCAGTCCGACAGCAGCATGCAGGCAGACAGACAGACAGACAGACAGACGGGCGGACGGACGGACGGTAGCTTGCAGACAGACGGCAGCTTACAGACAGACAGACAGACAGACGGCAGCATGCAGACAGACAGACGGCAGCATGCAGACAGACAGACGGCAGCATGCAGACAGACAGACGGCAGCTGACAGACAGACAGACGGTAGCTTGCAGACAGACGGCAGCATGCAGACAGACAGACGGTAGCTTGCAGACAGACAGACGGTAGCTTGCAGACAGACGGACGGTAGCTTGCAGAGACCGGGAGATAACCCGCCCCAACATTGTGTATGAATACAGACAGTCACAGCAAATTCACAAAATAAAATACAATGATTATGAATTCATAAAAGGTGCATGTCTTTGTACAGTGTCAGCTGCTGTAGGTCCAGCTGAGATCACATCAGAATCAGAGTTTTGATCCCATGATTGCAGTAAGTTGATGTATTATCACCATGGAGAAAGATGAAACTTCAACAAGGAACGAGAAGATAAGAAAATCTGAAAACAGAATTTTAAGATGAGAATGTTTTCGCATAACTCAATGTTATTTTTGTACAATATATCACTTGGACTACTGTAAAAAATATAATTTGCTTGTACTCCGTTTTTATGTGGAAAGGAAGTGCAACTTAAGTCCTAGAACATTAAAATGTCTAATGTCATTTTAACCTGAATAAAGGAAGGGGAATTAGACTGAACATTCTTTTCCGAGTTCATATCTTCAAAGCGTTAATTGCTGATGCATTCTCTTTCTTCACATTGACGTATATTGACACCACATCCCTCAGCAGCCTCCACTGATTGACATATTTACAAACTACAAGTACATAAAGTATTTTTCTCAAACTGTCTCATGGAGTATTGATGACCCATTCTACATGTGTGAAGAACTTTGAGTTGGTTAAGTGAGTTTTGATCTATTATAGCTAAACGAGGGTTAGGGCGCCATCTAGCGTTCGTCTGCCGATCGTTCAGTACATTTTTCACGCGATTGTACATGTCAAATTGGTGCGCACTCTGTTCACAAATTACGTTCGCCAAGTACTCAGCCAGCAAATGATATTGGTGTGTCTGAGCCCTTTTAAAAGTTGGTGAGCTGTATCTAGTTAAATGAGGGTTAGACCTTTTGAGTCTAAGAGAGTGTAGAGGGTTGAAGAAAAGGGTTGCCCGCCCGCCCTCCCTCCCGTGCAGAATGAACAGAGACTGTTGTAATTCTAGTCCTGTCGTCTGGAACTCTGGATCAGTTTCAGCACCACTAAGTGATGTTACCAGTGTAACTAAAGCCAGTTATTAAACAGACTTTACACGCTGGGATATCCCTTGACACAGAACACATAGAAATCACATTCCAAATCTCCCACCTTTCTCTTATAAGACTTTTAATTACTAGGTGTACAATATGTAAATCAAGGCTATGTACATACATTTATTTGACAGTAATTTTACATTTTAGTCATTTAGCAGACGCTCTTATCCACAGCGACTTACAGTTAGTGAGTGCATACATTTTTCATACTGGCCCCCCGTGGGAATCGAACCCACAACCCTGGCGTTGCAAGGGCCCTGCTCTACCAACTGAGCCCTTCTCTACCAACTGAGCCCTGCTCTACCAACTGAACCCTGCTCTACCAACTGAGCCCTGCTCTACCAACTGAACCATGCTCTACCAACTGAGCCCTGCTCTACCAACTGAGCTACACGGGGCCACAATAACAAAGGAGTAACTACATAATTCCATTGAAGAGAAAAGACAATGTAATCAGGGAAAAGACAATGTAATCAGGGAAAATACAATGTAATCAGGGAAAAGAGTATGCCCATTCTTCAAGGCAAAACTGCTCCAGCTCCTTCAAGTTGGATGGGTTCCGCTGGTGTACAGCAATCTTTAAGTCATACCACAGATTCTCAATTGGATTGAGGTCTGGGCTTTGACTAGGCCATTCCAAGACATTTAAATGTTTCCCCTTAAACCACTCAAGTGTTGCTTTAGCAGTATGCTTAGGGTCATTGTCCTGCTGGAAGGTGAACCTCCGTCCCAGTCTCAAATCTCTGGAAGACTGAAACAGGTTTCCCTGAAGAATTTCCCTGTATTTAGCGCCATCCATCATTCCTTCAATTCTGACCAGTTTCCCCAGTCCCTGCCGATGAAAAACATCCCCACAGCATGATGCTCCCACCACCATGCTTCACTGTGGGGATGGTGTTCTCGGGGTGATGAGAGGTGTTGGGTTTGCACCAGACATAACGTTTTCCTTGATGCCCAAAAAGCTCAATTTTAGTCTCATCTGACCAGAGTACTTTCTTCCATATGTTTGGGGAGTCTCCCACATGCCTTTTGGCGAACACCAAACGTGTTTGCTTATTTTCTTCTTTAAGCAGTGGCTTTTTTCTGGCCACCCTTCAGTAAAGCCCAGCTCTGTGGAGTGTACGGCTTAAAGTGGTCCAATGGACAGATACTCCAATCTCCGCTGTGGAGCTTTGCAGCTCCTTCAGGGTTATCTTTGGTCTCTTTGTTGCTTCTGATTAATGCCCTCCTTGCCTGGTCTGTGAGTTTTGGTGGGCGGCCCTCTCTTGGCAGATTTGTTGTGGTGCCATATTCTTTCCATTTTTTAATAATGGATTTAATGGTGCTTTAATGATGTTCAAAGTTTCGGATATGTTTTTATAACCCAACCCTGATCTGTACTTCTCCATAACTTTGTCCCTGACCTGTTTGGAGAGCTCCTTGGTTTTCATGGTGCTGCTTGCTTAGTGGCGTTGCAGACTCTTGGGGCCTTTCAGAACAGGTGTATATATACTGAGATCACGTGACACACAGGTGGACATTATTTAACTAATTTTGTGACTTCTGAAGGTAATTGGTGCGGAACAGAAAGAACACTGAATTGCAGCTGTATGTTTTTTAGGGAATGCAGTTTATTCTCTATCCTCACACTGATTAGTGCAGATGTGTAGCACTACTTGTCTTTCCCCAGGTGTTGTTTGCTCGGATAAAATGACATCCTTCAGGGAACTCGGATCCAACTGAAGATGGTCCCCAACAACAGAGTGATCGATTCAGCATCAGCTCTGTGAGCTGAAAGGACCCTAATACAGGACCCTACCCTGAACAGAGGTCCTATCCTGACCAATACAGGATCCTACCCTGACCAGAGGTACTATCCTGACCAATACAGGACCCTACCCTGAACAGAGGTCCTATCCTGACCAATACAGGACCCTACCCTGACCAGAGGTCCCATCCTGACCAATACAGGACCCTACCCTGACCAGAGGTCCTATCCTGACCAGACCAATACAGGACCCTACCCTGAACAGAGGTCCCATCCTGACCAATACAGGACCCTACCCTGACCAGAGGTCCTATCCTGACCAGACCAATACAGGACCCTACCCTGACCAGAGGTCCTATCCTGACCAGACCAATACAGGACCCTACCCTGACCAGAGGTCCTATCCTGACCAATACAGGACCCTACCCTGACCAGAGGTCCTATCCTGACCAATACAGGACCCTACCCTGACCAGAGGTCCTATCCTGGCCAATACAGAACCTACCCTGAACAGAGGTCCTATCCTGACCAATACAGGACCCTACCCTGACCAGAGGTCCCATCCTGACCAATACAGGACCCTACCCTGAACAGAGGTCCTATCCTGACCAATACAGGACCCTACCCTGACCAGAGGTCCTATCCTGACCAATACAGGACCCTACCCTGAACAGAGGTCCTATCCTGACCAGACCAATACAGGACCCTACCCTGACCAGAGGTCCTATCCTGACCAATACAGGACCCTACCCTGACCAGAGGTCCCATCCTGACCAATACAGGACCCTACCCTGAACAGAGGTCCTATCCTGACCAATACAGGACCCTACCCTGACCAGAGGTCCTATCCTGACCAATACAGGACCCTACCCTGACCAGAGGTCCTATCCTGACCAGACCAATACAGGACCCTACCCTGACCAGAGGTCCTATCCTGACCAATACAGGACCCTACCCTGACCAGAGGTCCTATCCTGACCAGACCAATACAGGACCCTACCCTGACCAGAGGTCCCATCCTGACCAATACAGGACCCTACCCTGACCAGAGGTCCCATCCTGACCAATACAGGACCCTACCCTGACCAGAGGTCCTATCCTGACCAATACAGGACCCTACCCTGACCAGAGGTCCTATCCTGACCAATACAGGACCCTACCCTGACCAGAGGTCCTATCCTGACCAGACCAATACAGGACCCTACCCTGACCAGAGGTCCTATCCTGACCAATACAGGACCCTACCCTGACCAGAGGTCCTATCCTGACCAGACCAATACAGGACCCTACCCTGACCAGAGGTCCTATCCTGACCAGACCAATACAGGACCCTACCCTGAACAGAGGTCCCATCCTGACCAGACCAATACAGGACCCTACCCTGACCAGAGGTCCCATCCTGACCAATACAGGACCCTACCCTGACCAGAGGTCCTATCCTGACCAATACAGGACCCTACCCTG